AAGGAATATTTAGAAATGGGAGTCATGACCCAACTGTGCAGCGCCTTGGGACGTCCTCCTGACGTGAAAGGCGCTTTATAAATGGAATCTTGTTGTTGTTGTTGTTGTTGTTATTGCGTATTATTCATGACATACTTTTAATGCTCCCTCCCCATTATAAGTCACAATGAGAAATTTGCTAAAGTTAGAAAATAGTGCATGATAAACTCCCCCCCAGTCTACTTATAATAATAATCCTTGCATTTGACATAGTGTTTTTCACGCCTTCGAAATATCTCAAAGCACTTCACAGAATATACTATAAAGTGAATTGACTGTATATTTGTGGGCGAAATGCGGCAGCGAATTACTTACTAGCACATTAGTCAGAAACTGGCACATTCACAGAAATAGGGTCCCTGACACAATTGTGTCTACCCTACCCTAGTTAGCCACTGTTTAAAGCTTTTTTGTTCTGTGATAAACAATGTACTGGGTCTGTCGTGGCACAAACAAAAAAGCAAAGTGAACAAAATAAATATAATTTAGCAATAGCGGATATAATTAGAAGCATATGACTGAATTAAATTATAAATAGTCAGGTTCATAGTTTTATGAGCAAAGCATACTTTTCCAAGTGTAATTGTTGTAAATGGAAACTGCTGTCATTGTTGCTTTTTACTTCAATGATGCAATAGATATGCAATCTGTGCAAAGGATAGGACTTCCCATTAAAAACGTAAGAGGCATCAATGTTTTTCTATTTATTTTTTACAATATTAATGCTGGTGATGAATTGGAAGATGACCATTCAGCATGTTCCTTAGCAAAGACTTTTAACTTCAATGATACTTATTGTGAACCCTTGCTGCAAACCTCCTCCCTTGGTATTTCTTTGCATTCCTTCCTTACATTGTCAGGTCCTAGACTGTGTGAAATTGACCCATGGGAGAGAACAATGCAATTTTACAAGGTTGATGTGCTGCCAGAAGAAACTATGCCATTATTATCTCCTTGGCAAATGTTGAAATCACACTATGACTGGCTTATGGACAGAATGGTACAATGGCAAACATTGCAACTTAAACTCTATCCAGCAAGAATGCATAGATGTTAACCCTGCAATAATTAATTGCAATGATTTTCAATGGTTATTAATATGCTTGTTTTAAACCATTTCTATCCAACATTACTTCAGAGTTTATTATGTATAACCATGGCAGTAGGTTGGGTTTTGCCTAAGATAGCAACACAGGGAAAGAAGCAGACTATCTGACCCATCAAGGGAGTTTCTCCCAGTGTCCTAGCTAACAATTTCCCAAATAAAATTGGTCACTTATTGCTGTTTCTGGTACACTCTGTGAGAAAATTAGCTGCCGCGTTCACCTACAAAACACACAGTGACTATATTTTACAGTACTTCCTCTGGGTGTGAAAGGTACTTTACCAAAAGTAAGGACTATATTATTACTTGGCTGTTCACAGTTCTCTATTAATCCTGTTTATACCCTATATTACCTTGTTATTCTGGAAGATCTGGAAGGTCAGTAGTTTATAGATTTATAGTTCATTGCAGTTATCTTTTTAATTCAATTTCCCCACCTTTCTCCATAACTCTTACTTCCAAGGTATCTATCTATCTCTTGAAACATCTCAATTTATTCTGCATCTAGGGCTTTCTGGGACAACTGCATGCATTCTAAGTATTCACAACCCTCTGTGATGTCCCACTTGTACTGGATCAAGGGTTAGTAAATTCATCTCTCTAATTGGTCACATATTTTATTTATGTCTGCTGGTACAAACCTTAGGCACACTGCATCAATCTCACACACTGTGGCTTATTATGTGCTATTCAGTAAGCGTAGCAAATCTTTTATTGTGGAAATAGCTACACTTAGCGAAGGGCATGTAATAGGTCTCACTGTGGTACGCAAGACTCACTGCTGAGCAAGCATATTTGTAGAAAAAAAGTCTGACCTGTGGATTAGGAAACAGCATCCTTTTCCATTCAAGCTCAGAATGATGAGAGAAAGGCTCCTCTCTACCAACTGCAAAAATCTCAAGTGAAATGAGTTTAGACAGACTCAACCCAGTGAAGAGAATTTATGCTGGTCCATGCAGTGGGGAGGCAGTCTTCTGAGGCTGGAATTAAGGATCATTGTTTAAGCAGGAAAAAAGGAGCTGTACTCCACATCTGTTGTGGAAGCACTTTATGCCACAAAGGTGGCTCATCACTATCAATGTGCTCTCTTCTGACAAGAGTCAACATTTTTAAAAACGCATTCCACCCTGCATACCTGAAAAGACAGAGTTAAAATAATTGTCATAAAAGCAAATGTAAAGACTTGAAGTCAGTTAAAAGAAACAGTCTGTAAACAAAAAATGTATTGTGTGGGGAAATCCTTTCAAAGCGTTTCTGTTGTGCTCAGACTTCAGCATCTAATGTAATATGATCAACCACGCTAACCTTGCTCCTTTCTCTGTGCCTTCAAAACCTGTCTTAAGAACCATCTCGTCAACTGTGCTTCTGAACACCTTTGAGATGTCATCCTGACATGAAAGGCACTATATAAAGGTAAACTATTGTTGTAAAACAGTGATTGTCATTTTCAAAAAGCACATCAATGAGACTACTATCAGGAAGACAAGCATTTATAACGTTGAAAATTCATTTGTAAAACTTAAGTTAATGTTTATTTGCATTTTGCGAATCTTCATACTTCCTTGTTTTTCTAATAATATTCTCAAGCAGATATTTCTCCAGTTCATGAATTGGGAGTGCATTATATACATTCATTCTCTATAGCCCCCAAAAAATCTCTGCTCCCATTTGAGATTTTTAATTCTAAACCTATATCCTATAATATTATTCTAACAAATGAAGATTGTTTACATCTCTATAATTCTATCGGCTTTTTAAAGACCTAAATCATGTCATTTCACCCACCCCATCTCCTTTTTTTCTATTAAGCTCTGAACTTCAAGTCCAAGTATCATCCGTCTTGATCCCTCTCCAATGCTTCGATGTTCTTTAAAGCTTGACGAAAAGGATGTTAATCTAAGTTAATACCATTTCTGATTCTTGAAATGTGAGAATCTTGCTAATGTTTTGGGAATTACAGTAGCCTCATCTAGGAGGTACCTTGTGCAAATGTCAGTGTTATCACTGGACTATTTTGAACATAGCTGCCTCTATTCAGATTCTTTTTAATTTTAAAATTATAGAAGAAAGCCTCCAATTAATGAAATAATCATTCTGACTCTGTTCACTGTAGTGATCTTTTCTGTTGTCTGCTTTCTTGATCTACAGAATACACTTAAGTAAGTCTCATGATTGGGAATAAAATTGTTAAACCGTCAGCACCAAATGTGGAGAAAAATGCTAGGTTAAAAATATAGAAGACTCCTGGGATCATCACAGTCATTCCCCAATCCATGTGTTTAAATGTATACTTCATTTGAAAATGAATACAGTTCTCTTGAAAACAGGTGGCAGCAATAAATCACCAAAGACATTAAACACACATGACATAGGAACCTCCAAACGTGTGGGTTCAGACAGAGAACAATGGAAGCTTTGTATACGGATCGTGATTCAAAGAATGTGCAAAAACTATATCCATGGGAGTCAATGTAATGTTCATCCTCGTTCATTTAGCCTCCATGTACAATTATGTGAAAAGGTAAAATAAAAATGGTAGCAGTTTCTATGCCAGCTCAAAGCAGTATCAATGCGCTTGTCATCTTGAGATATCAAATAATGGAATTAATATTTCTTAATAGCAATGCTGATTACCTGCAGATAATGTTGCAAAAGCTGCTGCACATTGGCCCATGACATGGCTTTAGTATGACTCAAATGAGCTCAAACATTTCCTGAATACATTTTATGACCTACTCGCACTTGTGGATTTAGTGGGTTTTCATGAGGTTTTATCATGAAGTAAAAGAAACAGCTTCCAAGATCGGCAAATGGCTTTGATTTTATCTAAATGAAACTCTAAAGCTCTGTGAACACCAACAAAGTGATATTTCCTTTCAAGACAGGAAAGTGTGCACTGATGCATATTTATTTGGCACCACTATTTTCATGGACAAATTAAACAAGATAAATTTATGAATTTTGCATTTGGACTTATGGCTGTCTTAGCTCAATGCCAGACTAAATAAATTGAGTTTACCACCACTAATCTCACTAACCCTGTAAAATAAAATAAGTGTAAGCCAAATATATACCTTAAAAGCCATAAGAACCATTGATTCAAATGATCCCAACATAAACAGATGTAAAACAAAATTCAAATCTGAGTCAGATGTGATCAGCTGCTCGAATTGGTTTCATATTTTATTCATTCTTCATAGATGTGGACAACAGTGAGTATTCAACTCAATTTCCCATCAACAATAAGAAAGCCTGGAATGAGAAAATGGATGATAGGCCACAATCAATACCATGTGAATCCTCCACATGCGGGATGATATCCCGTGATTTAGAAAATACTGTAAAAAAAAGGATAACTGGAACATAACATTTCTGAAAGGTTGTAGTCTTTATCTTGTCACTGTTGGGTGAATTACTGCAAGTTTTGAATATATAAGGTTTCCTCTATGGTAATAGGAAAGTATGATTGAAGAAGGGAAGAAAAATTGAATAACTATGCCTGCCAATGAGCAGACCATTAGATGAAAGTTTTGGGGGTCCTTTGTGTCATAGCTGGCCCTCCAATTTGAGATTAAAGATTGTATGAATCCAGGCAAATGATACGGAATCCAAAAGGCCAGATAACAAACCCTTTACAGTCAATAGGAAATCACCAAGTTACATGCATTATATACCATCAAGGGTTTAACTAACTGCAGGATTAATGGATTCCTGATCTTTCTGAGCACATTTCAGAACATCAGTCCAATGGAAAATCAACTTTAAGCATCATATGAAGAAGGAACACTGTTATACTAATTATGCAATGGGTGCTACTCTACAACCCAAGTTCGTACTTTGTTGATTTGTTTCCCACCTTAGCAGTTGTTGTTGTGGAAGGAACAGGGCTGGCCATTAAGGTTGTCATCATCTCATTGCTTGCTGTAGTGCAGACAGGCGTGACAGGAGTCAATAGACGAGTTGGAACAATTGGCAATGGCAGAAGCCCAGGTCTGCTGCTGCTGTTGTTAATGCCGCTGCTGCACTTGCTATTATTTACATTGCTACAGCTGCTGCTTCGTTCCCGCCAGTCCCACCCACTGCGATAATCTCTCTCATACCGGCTGTGATGCCGTGACATCTCCAAAGCACACGCTTCTTTTCAGAGGAAGTCAGTAGGATCTGCAATTTGAAACAAACGCATATTAATGTACGCAATGTATTCAGCATTAAAAAAAGTTAAAATTAGGTTACAGTTTATACGATATGTTAAAGTTCAAATGATAAACCCAGAACAGCGGAAAACACTTTAAATTTCTTGCAAATTTACCTTTTGGTCAAAAGCTGTTCGTTAGGCTTATTTTCAAATTTGCTAATGTGCCTTAACATGCAAAAATAATGCACACAATCACTGAATTCACATTTTGTTAAATAAATTCAAAAAAGTTATGCACTTTCATCAGTAACTATCTTTAATGATTCTACTAACCTCACTCATTGTGAACAAATGTATTAGGAAATGAAAATAAGCAATGTTTTCCAGAGACTGGTTTACATGTGAGCCGCATTAACAATTAAACCACAAACCACTATTATGGTAAATAACAATAATCCTTGCATTTGATATAGTGCCTAACACGTCAGGAGGATATCTCAAAGAGCTTCATATCATTCACTGTAAAGTGTAGTGACTGTTTATTTTATAGGCAAATGTTGAATTTTAGTTATTACATGTATTTGCAGCTGAAACAGTATGCTGCAATAATAGAAGTCGCTGGGAACACTCAGCAGGTCAGGCAGCAGGAGAAAGGAAAGTGAGTTCAATGATTGGGTTCACGACCCTTCGTCAGAATTGGGGCATGGAAGGAAGAGGCCTTTGAGGGCTAACAGAGAGGAGAGAGGCAGGATGATGGGCTAAAGAGGTGTTAATGATGCAGAACAAAGAGGGGGAAAATTGCAACAAAATAGGCAGACCAGAGAGAGAAAAGGTGCACAAAACACAAATTACTGCAGAAGCTGGAATCTGAAACAAAAGCAGAGAGAGCTGGGAAAACTCAGCAGGTCAGACAGCATCTATGGAGAAAAAGAAAGTGAGTCAACGTTTCGGCGAATGTTCTGACGAAGGGTCATGGACCCGAAATGTTGACTCACTTTCCTTTCTCCATAGATGCTGCCTAACGTGCTGAGTGTTCTCAGCTCTCTCTGAGAGAAAAGGTGTATTCTGGACCCAGATGATATGGTAATGGTCACAGAAGAGGAGGAGGGGGAAGGTGAACTGTGGTCTGAAATTGTTGAAATCAATATTGAGGCCAGAGGGCTATAAGGTCCCAAGCAGATAAATGAGGTGCTGTTCATTGAGCTTGCACTGTGGCTCATTAGAACAGCATAGGAGACTGTGGTCGGAAAAGTCAGAGTGCGAGTGGAAGGGAGAGTTGAAGTGGCAAGAAACCGAAAGCTCAGGGTTGTGCTTGTGGACAGAACGGAGGTGTTCGGCAAATCGGTCACCCAATCAGCATTTCGTCTCCCCAGTGCAGAGGGCAAGTTTCCTTACTCCACACACCTGATAATAATCCCTCCAGAAAACAAAACAATAATAAATTGGTCATTTTCAATCCACGACTGTTTGTGGGACATTGCTGTGCGCAATTGGCTGCCGCGTTCGCCCACAAATATACAGTCAATTCACTTTACAGCATATTCTGTGAAGCTCTTTGAGACGTCGACAAGATGTGAAAAGCGCTATATCAAATGCAAGGATTATTATTATTATTGATATAGAACCTTTCACGTCAGGAGGATGTCTCAAAGTGATTCACAGTATATACTGTAAAGTGGAGTTACTGTGCATTTTTTGGGAGAACACATAAACCTGTTGTCAGGCTTTAGGCAATATAATTTCTCTCTGGTGTTTGAGAGCAGCCTAGTTTGAAACTATAATCCCTATTTGAATCCCTGCTTAATAGACGTTACCATGTGCCATTGATGATAGGTGCCTTCACCAATACAATATTACATTTGTATAGCACCCTTCATGCTGGAAGGACATCCCAAGGTGCTGGATAGTCATGGATTTGTACCTGAGCAGGGGGGTTGGTATCAGGGAGGGTGGAGGGCAGGGAGAGTAGGAGGGTGGCTGAAGGCATAGTCGAAGAGGATGGTCTTGAGATGTGTCTTGAAGGAGGCAAGGGAGGGAGTGAAGCAAAGGGACAGTGGGATGGAGTTCCAAAGGCTGGGGGCAGAGAGGCTGAAGGCCCGACCGCTGATGGTGGTGCAGGCCAGGTGAGGGACATGAAACAGGCCTGCCTGCTGAGTGGAGGGAGTGAATGGGTCAATATGGAGTTATCAGGTCACAGAGGTAGGAAGTTGCAAGGCCACAGAGGGCATTGAATGTGAGGACGAGGATTTTGAACTCTATCCTCTAGGGAATGGGGAGCCAGTGAAGCCGAGCAAGGGTGGGGGTGATAGTGTCACGGAGCCTGGTGCAAGATAGGATATAAGCTGAGGAGTTCTGGATGGTCTGCAGATTGTGGAGGGAAGAGTTGGGAAGGCTGACAAGCAGGGAGTTGGCATAGTCGAGCCTAGATGTGATAAGGCTTAATAGTCAAAATCCATCACGTTTTGTTGACTAAAAAAGGAAGATAGAGGGAGGTAGGAGAAAAACTGGAAGAAAAATGAAGGGAAAGTGGAAACTTTTTCGAAAAAGCACAACCTCTTAAGCTACTCGACTATTTAATGTAATATTTCAACAACAATTTGCATGCATATAGCATCCTTCAAGCAAGGTAAAGGCTCAGAGCACTTAGATATATCAACATTCAAGATACTTCTAATTTCAGCCAAATGTATAAAATCCCAAATGTCTCAGAAATATTGACTGCACAGTACCTGTGCTAATTAGGCATCTTTATCTGAATTTCCGCAGTAGATGGTGCATTGTGAGGTTGTGGAACGCAACACCTCACTAGTCTCAGCCCTCACTGGGAAATGAGAAACTTTGGAGCACATTCGATTTGTGCTGTTGTGATAATGCAGTAGTTCAGTATTACAGTAATCCGTGTCTTACTCTAAATTACAATTTAGAACTCAATATGGATTTTACAGTAGTCTAATAAATAACAATTTTGTTCCAGCTCTAGCATCCACCTTGGCTGAAATAGGTATAGCTATAAAGCTCTTTGGCAGGATTAATCTGTGTGACTTTATAACATTGCTGAGCTGTGTACACTATACTATTAAATATCTGGCAAAATCAAAAATGACTGATTTACTAAGTTCATTTTGACCCTGCCTTTCTCTGCCCGAGCCTATGCCTCAGTCTCTGCTGTGTTAATGTTACAGAATAACAATTTGGTACACAGAAAGAAAATCCTGATGGGTGTCAGGAAATAAAATAGCAAGTTGAAGGGCATGATGGCAGGTTTCTCATTGCTTTTTAGAGTCCAATAATTTCTTGCAACCATTAAATAAAATGGCAGAATTTTATTCCTCTGTACTATTCATGTTGCACATTGAAGTCTCCAAGCTAAGCACAAAAAGAATGATTGGCAGAATTTATTGTATGATCTGAGTGTACTTTCAAGCACTCTGGCAGTCTGTCACTAGGTCATTTGTACTACTCCCCAGGAAAATTATACACCTGTCATGGTGAGTGCGATTGTTTTTTTTAACATCTAAAACTGATCTGATGATTAGGTTGTAATGGATTTGGACGACCTGATTCCATCTACATAATAGCTAGGAATTTGATTATGTCTTTGAGAACTGTCACCCACATTGGAGTATGATTTGAAACAAAACTTAATATGCAACTTTCAGAGGAAAAAAATGACAGTATTAAGATGTCAAATTGGATCAGATTCCTTTAATATTTCTGAAGATATTTTTGGTCTGAGTCTTTCTAATAATTGAATTATAAACTCATAGCCCCATTAATAGCCTCAGCAGTGCAGATACTGTCTAGTGGGTTGTACAGATCAGCAGGTTCAAATAATAATAAAAATCCTTGCATTTTATACAGTGCTTTTTACGTCGAGAAAACATCACAAAGCGCTTCACAGGTTATACTGTAATTTGTATTGGGGGTGGATGTTCAGCCGTGTGTCTGACACATGCAGAATCCAATCACTATGTTTAAAGAATACCGAAGCCGAACAGAATTCCATGCGTCCCAACTACACATGGAAATTCCAGAGATAGATTGTTGGAATGGAATGTGCTCTCTCTCCCTGGAGGAACGCATCCCGCTTACCTAATTACGGGAAGTATTAGGACCAATTTCCCACAGCCATGAAGTGAATAAGCAAATTTACCTGGGGATTGTTGGCCACTGAGAGACACTCAAGCAAATCTCAAATCAATGCTGAGTGAGTTGATCTGAGTTAGCAAGGGCAGCAGGGTTCCTGCTTCTAATTCCAGAATCTCCTGCTGGAAGGTGGGCATTAAGTGAGAAGATCATATTTCGCTCTGATGTTCCCTATTGTCAAGTAGCTGACCAGGCACAGTACCAAGGCTTAGATGTGAACCGTTAGGGTGGTCCTAGCTGGACAAGGAGTATGACAGTGACAAGTTATGTGATTTTAGCAGGTTGGACCACACTGCATAATCTGGGGTCCCCAAGTGTTGGCTCTTGCCAACCTGCATCTAATAATCTCCACGATTACATTGCCAGAAAGTGTCCCTCAAGGGAGAGAGTGTTATTCCATTACAATAAATTTGCATGGAAGTCAGTTTGGTTTGGATCCTCTTAAACACAGTGATGGGTTTCCACATGTCTCAGACACCCAGTTGACTAAAAAAGAACTATGGCCTCTTGAGTGAGCATCGAAGAGTATTTGGGATGTTTAGTGTACTACACTAAATGGCCATTAGGTGACAGCGCTCGCCCCTCCCAAACACATCAACAATAACATTACATTTATAGAGCACCTTTCACATTGGGAGGATGTCCCAAGGAGCTGAACAAACAGGGATCAGGACCCAAGCATGGGGGAGGGGTGGGGTAGTGTTGAGGGAAGGCAGAGAGTGGGAGGGCGACTGAAGAGGAGGGTCTTGAGACCGGCCTTGGAGGAGGCAAGGGAGGCGAAGAGACTGTGAGATGGAGTTCCAGAGTGTGGGGGCAGAGAGGCTGAAAGCCCGTCCACCGATGGTGATATGGAGCAGGCCAAAGCCCGATGAACGGAGGG